GACACACACTTTGGTGCCTTTTAGTCACACTGCAACGTGCAGTTGAGTACTGCAGAGCTAAGCCCAGCAGCCTAACTCATTGGGAGAAGCCACTGGTATTAACATGCTTCCTACAGCTGCATGTGTTTGCTAAAACAGAACAGAGAGACGTGGAAGGATGGAAAACAGCCCTGCTTCCACAGGAAAACTCCCTGGGGAGTAGGAGAGATGGCTCCAGTACCCTCCTTTTGCTGAGCCATCACTGCAACAGCTGCTGGGTGCACTGTGTGGAGCAGGGGAACAAACCTGGAAACCCCTGTGGTTCTCCTGCTGGAAAAACACAGCACTAAAACCTGTGCATTGACTGGAAATGTACGTACCTGTGTATGTCCCCCCCAGCCTCCTGCAGAGGGGGGGCAGAAAACAAACATGAAAAAGAACGTACCTGCAGAGGTGGGTGTTGGGGACAGGGTGGGGGATCACTCACTGGGCCCTGGACTCATGATGTTTACACCTAGGCTTTATCTGCTCTACCACAGCTCCTCAAATGCTTTCTTCTTGCATGGGATACTTGACAAAGATCTTCCCATTTTTTCTAAGCCACCTCCCCTGTTTTCCACGCACGTGGTTCCCGCAGCAGCGGTCGCTGCTCAGGGCTCTGCAAGGCTCCTGGCTCTTGGTGGGGTGGTTGGCACCAACACCGCCACACCTGCCAGCTCACTACTCACCTTTGTGAAAAGAAAACTTGTGTGCTCAGGAAACAAACAGAAATCAGTACCAGGAACTAAATTTTTAGTGTCAACGTTGTGAAAAGAAAATCACGCAAACCACAGGGAACAGCGCTGAGAGCTCAGCGGCATCGGCAGGACTCGGGACACACCACACTGCCCCACAGCTCACCACTTCCCTCACACTACTCAAAGACAAATGAAGGGGACAGAGCAGGGAAAGCCATTCCTTCTCTCACCTTCTCCTGCCACCTCAGGAGACAGTCAGTGGAGAAGAGGATGCCTGGCATGGCTCCACTGCATTGAAATAACCCGCACATGGTGTTCAAGCTCCCTGCAAAGGTTGGAACCATCCCATTCCCTTGAGGGCAGCTGGTTTTTCTCTCCATCTTTACTGGAAAGGGACTCTGAACTTATCCCTCTGAAGGAAATGATGAAGAACCTTTGCTCACAGCTTTCTTGCTATAATAAAAACTCTACTCACAAACTAAATTTTCTACTCTTTTGTGTCTGTCTTGGAAACCATGAACAAAAAAAAACACAGTTCACTATGCAAAGATATCCTCAGAAGCCATATGGCTTTGGAAATCAAGAGAAGCATAGAAGGAAACCACAACAGCTCTATGCTGTCAGTCAGCCAGGGCACATACAGGACTAGCAGGGGCACAGCAGCAGCTCTGAACTCTCACTCTAACTAAAACCTTCATCTAAAAATATCTGTAGCAGGGTCAAAGCTCCCCTTGCTCTGTCCTCAGCTGTGGATCCACATAGCCTGCCCTAAGCTAAAGGATTGAGATTCTAGTCACTCCCATTCCTTCAGAAAACAAAAGGGGCACTACACTAAGACTCTTATTAGTTTCTTTTTAAAAAAAAAAACCCTGAGATTTGAAACAGCCAATAAAAGATCTGCACCATTGCAAAATACAAGAAGAAAAACATTGAAGATGCCTTTTCAAACTAATTGTGATGCAAGAGAATTGGGAAGCCTGTCCATTGAAAATACAGGTAGCTTTCTCCTAAGATCTTCTGAAAACCAAGAGGATTTAGTTGGATTTGTTCCCATATTAAGCAATTCTAACACATTTAGAGGGAATGCTTGTGATTGGGGCACAGGACATGAAACAGAGGCAGACAGAGTTATACGTAATAGCTGAATCCTGATTCTTTTTTAAAAGATCCAAGAAACTAACAGCCTTTCTCTATATCTTTATCTATATATTTGTCCCTGATGCTGCCACCTGTTAGAGAGTTTGCAGACAGAATTCTGTCTTTTTTCTGGTTTCTTTTTCTTCCTTACTAGTTCATTGTGAGAGGAAATCAGACAAAGCACCTAAAAACATGCTTAAAGGCACCAGCTTTGGACACCACTACAGGCCTCCTCCAAGTCCTGTTTTGAAATGTCACACCACACATGCAGGACATCATCTCCACAGGCCTGACTAAAGTCACACAAAGAGCCAGAACACACATTCAACAGGAGAGAAATACAAGTAACATACAGCACTTATAAACTACAAAAAAGAGCAAACTGCTGTACATTCTGGGAGGTCTGAGCTAATACTTTGTTCTAAAAGTGCTTTGGCTTTCTGTACCACTGGTAAAGCAGACAGGTTTCTCGTGGGACAACAGAGACTTCACTAAAACACAGTAAGTCAAGTGAGATAAAAGCAAGTGCTGTGCAGAATAATCACATCTTGGTAAAACTAAGTTGGAAGAAATAGGTGACTAAAGGAGGTTTTAACTCCTCGTGTTCTGCCACATGTTGAGAAAATTCTATTAAAGTTTTAGTTATCAGAATTTTGAGAAATAACAGTACTTTTTAAATGTTTGAGTAAACAATTAAGGTCTTTAACTGATATCAGTAATATTGAGCATAAAGGTATGATTGTAACTAATTTGCTTACTTTGGAGGCATTGGCTGTATTAGTACTGCACTCTCTCTGCAAAGGACTGAAAACAGGGCAGAAGGAAACCCCAGAAACAAACGTCTGAAGGAGATGATGCACAAGCTTTGGGTCAGGTGTAATGGATTTCACATTCTTGCTTGTACAAAAGCAAAATACTCTAAAAACTGCTGTTACAAGTCGAAGCTCAGGTTGGACTCTCTGACCTCAGAGGTCTTTTCCAACTTGTGATTCTGTGATTCTGTAATGTCACTACCCCAAACCACGGCAGTTAGGAAGGACATTTCACAACTTTTGCTGTTTCACCTCAATAAATGTTGCTAAATTAGATGTGACCAGTTCAGTAACTGTCTTTTCAATTATGCTTTCAAACTTACAGGTCAAGTTTCACATCAAAGTCACCTGCCTAAAAGAATTTATAAAAGCCCTGAAGCTCTAACTGTCATCTCCAGTATTCATCCCTCCTAACAACTCAGTTTCTCAGAAAATTTTATATTTTTCTGAATACAGCCCATATCTTAAAGAAAAAGTTAAAGCTATGACCGGATTTACCACTAGCTGTCCTCCACAGATACAAATTAATTCAGAAAAGTGTCCTGTAAGTATTTTTATGCAGAGTGACTAAATAACGAGAAAGAAGGTGAGACAAAATGCGATGGGGATTAAGTGCTTTTATAGTCTCTGTATATCTCCAAACTGCTGCAAAATGTTTGCTGCTGGACTGCTGAAGGCACTTGGAAGTCAGCAAATATGATTGTCTTCACAAGAAGTTTGGTTGTGTACACATTCTCTCTTCCCAACTACCACACAGGCTATTTGTTCTTCGAAGCATACCACAGACATGTTGCATAGGTTGATATTTTAAAACTGTCCTTCAGAGATGATTTGAAGAATGTTCTTTTTTTTGATTGTGGAAACAAAAACAAAATGTGGATCTTGCTACAGCGCTGGAAAATGGGCAATTTAGTGGAAGCAGCTGCTGGTTAATAAGTGTGTGCAAAAGTGACTGTTTTATGCAGCTGTTGCAGGAACAGTGTATTTCAGACTCTTACAGATATGTTTTTAGCCAAAGAAATCCTTCAGTATACTGTAAGTTGTGATGTCTGCATGAGCCAGTTGATACTTAAGTTCTTTGAAATCAGTGGGTTTTCCTAAATGCAGTATTTTCCAACATTGTAGCCTATTATTACCTGTTCTTGATGCAGTGTGATGCATGGAAACACAGCACCACAGCCTGGATGCTTTGAGGGAAACTGAAGAGGTATATGAATTAACAAAAAAAAATAAAAATAAAAATTAACTACATTATGTGATTTAAAATCCAGCCACTGGATTGGGGTTTTCTTTCCTAAAGCAACTGATCACACCCTTAGAGGGATCGATCACAAAAATCAAGACTCGTGACTGACGCGTGACTTCTCTGCCCAGTCTTCTTGCGTGAGATTTTTTAAATTGTTCTGAAAGTCAAACCCGAAGTTATCCCCAGTGGCTTGAGCAAAAGGGTTACTAAAGAAAAGATTTACATCCAGAGGCGCAGCAGTTCCGGAGTCCCAGGAGTCCGTGTCCGTGCTGCTGGAGTCTTCTGTGGTGGTGGGTGGATAGCTCAGCTGCTCCAGCTGGTCAATAATGTCCGTGAACTGGAAGGCTGAGCTGGACTCGGAGCGCACTGAGTAGGCAGGGAAGTTCACCATGGAGCTGGCCTCGGAATGGTTGGCAGAGCCATAGGCATGCAGGGAGGACGTGCCATTCAGCGGCAAGTTATTGAGGGAGCTGCTCTCAGAGCGGTTGTTGATGAGGGAACTCGTTTCAGAGGGGCTCAGGAGGCTTTGCATTCTGCTCGCTTGGGCCTTCACCTCAAACAGCTCTGAGGTGTCCGATGGCCTCTCGTTGCCGTTGAAATCGCTCCCTTCTTCAAATTCAAACTCCTCTTCCATATTCATATCCACAGCTTCAGTTGAGTACCTGTCGGGGCTCGACTGAGCAGAGACTGTGTTTTGCTGGAGGGCATCTGTAGTTAAACGAGGTGACTCCGACAAACACTTAGAAAACTCAGAACCCTTTAACTCTAACCCACTGTACACATAGGAAAATGCCTCAGAGCCCCCAGCAAAAAAGGACATTTCTGCTGGGTCATCATCAATAAACTCCTCTGACACCTGTAACTGTGCATTTGTCAGTGTGAAAAGAGGGGCACCCCGGCTGCCGTGCTGCTGCTCCTTTTCAGCAATGAATACACCTGTGGTAAAGTCATCCTCATCATTGTCATTTTTACAGCCAGTAACCCTACTCTCCTTACTACTCCTCTCTATGTCTACATCTACACCACAATCACTCTCAACAACAGGACAAGACAGGTCACAGTTTCCTTCAACACTACCAAACCCAACACCTTGGAGCATGGGAGATCCGGGTTGCTGCATCAGATTCCTCCCCGCTTCTTCTGCTGGTGCTGCAGTGGTTTTGTCTGGAATCCTTGTGTACGGTGCTCGGGGGTCCAAGGAGGAAGGGCTGGATTCAGCAAAGATGGGCAGGACAGGAGCAGGACTGGTCGAGGAGCGAACCGAGGAAAAGGGAGCAGCTGTCGAGGCAGGAGACCCTGGGGTTCTCAAGCCCTCAGTGAATGGGACACTCTAAGAGGGGAAAAAAAGCAGAAACACAACAGATATAAAAAGGTTTTTGTAATACATAAAAACAACTGAAACATCCAGTTACACACAGATGCAGAAGGAATATGTGCTTCAGAGGAGCTCACTTTACAGCAAACAAAACACTGCACAGAAGCTGATCCAGCAGCCCCTGTAAGAAACAAGGTCTGTTTTCTTTAATTCTGGTAACTGGATGGAAAATTAAATCCGTGTATTTTACAGCCTCTGCTGAACAAGCATCCACAAGGAAAAATAACAAAATGACAGTGAAACTCCATGATGCTTCCTTAACCTCTCCTGTGTAACACAAGTGCATTCGGTGAAACGTTTGTTTCTTGCCGTGGTCTGCAGAAGGCATCTACACAATGAACTCGAGACTGCCAGAGAGTACCTGGAGACACACTAATCCTCTGAAATAATAACATACTAGAAAGTCTGACATTTCCTTTTCAGTTCAGCTGAACTTTGAAAAGTAAAATACTACTCACTTTACACTCCATTGGCTACAACTATCAAACCAGTAACACCCACAAAAAGAACTGTGAAGCAGGGATGAAGACCAAACAGTAAAAGCAATTCTGGAGGGTTGACTCCTTCACCATCACCTCAGAAAGCTGTTTGTCCATGCCCCTGACCACAACACCAAGAGCAGAACTGACCTGTTTTGGCACATCTGTGTTGGAGGCGCGAGTGGATGCTCTGACCTTGCTGTGCCTCCTGTGGGACAGAGCAGCCTGTGAGCATCCAAGACATGAACCAGCCTCCTCCCTCCCCCAGTCACCCACTGCCATTCCAGTAGCCAACAGGCACGTCTCAAGCTCTATTTTACTGTGTTTTGTTAAAAACTAGTTCAAGGTTTAAAAAGGTCAAAAGAGTTGTAAATTAAACGATGCGGGAGCAAGAAACATACAAAAAATAGAATAAAGCCAGACCCAGATCATTCGTAGAATCACAGAATCATTCAGGTTGGAAAAGACCTCTAAGATCATCAAGTTCAACTGCTCCCCCAGCACTGCCAAGCCCAGCACTAAGCCGTGTTCCCAAGCGTCCCATCTCCACATTTTTCGAACATCTCTAGGGATGGTGACTCCACCACTGTGCTGGGCACCCTGTGCCAGTGACCACCCGTTCAGTGAAGAAGTTTTCCCTAATATCGAACCTAAACCTCCCCTGGCACAACTTGAGGCCGTTTCCTCTCGTCCTGTCACTTGTTACCTGGGAGAAGAGACCAACCCCAACAAACTTGGCTACACTCAGGGAGCTGTTGACAGGTGGGTGTCAGTCTCTTGTTACCATTTCCTTTGACATCAGAATAAACATCTACAAATGAATGGCTTCAGAACCATAATGAGTTAACATGCAATAATTTTACAAATTTTTACAAATTCAGTCAACCATATAAAACTCTGTGTGTTAGACCCCAGAAAGTGGTACCTTGCATTACACTCATGGTTAGATTCATTCTATGTCAATAATTAACTAGAAAATCAATTTTTCATATAGAAAAGGAGGTCAGCTGGAGTCTGAGACAAAAAAAATATTTATTAACACTAGATTAATGCAGACTTTTAAAAATTCCTATTAAGTCCCTATACTCTTTTGGATGAAAGACTAGGAGGAGTTTCCCACCTGCAGACAGGACAGTTTTCAGTGTCTAGTAAGGAAATTACAATTTTATAATAAAAATGCACATTCTTAATTTATATATTTATATGTTTATAAACAAATGAGTATTTAAGGCGATAGTTTCAGACTTGCAGATCCCAAGTTCAATTCTGAGCTCTGCCACTGGCTGCTTGCACAGCTACAGTGGCACACAGACTCACTAATGTCAGGGAACCTTCAACACATGCCAAACTTTCAGATGGCTTAAGCCACACATTGTCCACAGACATCAATATATTATACTGAAACTTTCCTAAGCTTCTTAAATCAACACAAAAGAATAATTTTTTTACATTTAGCTCAGCTACTTTTGAGAGAAACCTCAGTAACTGAGAATGGCCATGCCTCCAAGCAGCATTTAAAACACTGAAATTTAGCCAATAAGGGAACTGTGAAAGTCCCAGCTACATTTCACCTTACAAAGCTCTTTGATCTCACCTTTCATACGGGGTTCTCTTCATCCCACTGTCCTTAATATAATCCACTAGTTGCTTCTGTGTTCGTCCACTGTGAACCCACAAAAGTACAAACGTTATCAAACACAGGGGATGAGCATTAGAGGTGGAATGACTTTAGAATACTTCTTCCTTTTGATCTCATTTTCTAAGACATAATGGGTTCAGCTTTAATGGATCTGTTCTGTTTCTCCCTACCTGTATCTGAACGATGACCCTCTGGTGAAGAACACTGCTTTAGCCTTTGGCTTTGGCTGATCAAATAGCCTAAAGAACGTGTGATACTCAACACAGATTTTCCAGAAGTTTTTACACTCATCCCTACTTCCCAAAAGAAACTCCAACGTATCTTGATACGGGCCCTGGGGAAAAAAAACACAAGTTAAGTAGCACATAAAATGACAATGAGGAGTAAAGGACAGAACAAATGGGTGCAAACAAAAAGGCTGAACTCCAGTGAGATGCAGAATTTTGATAAGTCACTTCTCATATGCCTTAAAGCATAGGAGTGATTCTGATGGTAGTCAAAAACCATTTAATAGCCTTCAAAAATATTCGCTTACCTTGAAACTGTAAAAGTGTTTAAAATGCACTTGGCTTTAGAAGCATGCTCAACATAACCCACCTTTAGAAATTCCAAAGAAATTAAAATATGTAAGTGAAATAGTAGCAATTTTAAAACAATTCTCCTTTCTTAGGAGTTCTGATGCTTCTCTCACTTCCTGAGGTTTAGACAAGACTGGAAAATACTGCATATGTCAGAGTACAGTTATCACATGACATTTCTGAGGGTCATTACTACACAGGCAGACACTGTGTCCTGTTTCAGGTGTCCTTGATACATGTAATTATATTATGTTCAAAGGTGGGTTTTGCCCCTTTTCTAATATAAATTAATATAAATTAATCTAGTCATGCAGTGTGGAAGCAACAACAACTTCGATGACATCTGCAATCAGAAACATCTACTGTAAATCAGCCAAGCAGGAAAAATAACACTTCTGCTATACAGATGCATACAAAAGATAAAGCAAGAGTAATCACACTACTCTTAAAATTGAGCTCCAACAATACAATCTCAGCCACCTACTCCCTCCTGAGGTGTAACACGTTATTCTCTTGAATCAAGAAACTAGGTGTAACTTTTTCAGAGCAGAAGTACAGAGACAGGATGCACCAAATACTTGGGTTTGGTAATTTTTTTCTGTCTTACATTTATGCATGTGTATGCCTATGTTAAGGGTAAGCTGAGGCTGAAACACAAAACCTAAAGATCCAAGGTGACAGTTGTGAGGTGAGAAAGGAAAGATTTATACTTGAATGATGAAGAGAAGCCTGCCCTGCTGAAGCTGTTTTATAAAATCACAAACTCTAGAAATGTTCATAATAAAATGAAGCATAGGTATTTTTTTCAACTGACCAGTCTATATCATAGAAAAACTTGCACAGACCTCTGGGTGGAGCTTAATAAGGAATCTTTTCCTCTTGAAGCTCAGTTTACGGACTTTGGACCAGTTGAAGGTATTGATTTTCGTGTTACCCTGAATTAAAATGAGAACAGTTAAAAGTTGGCAAAAGTTTCAGAAGAGTGGAATAAAAACCATAATTCTGTTGCAGTTATATAGACACGTGCATGTAGACACCTTCCCCACCCCAGTACATTCTGTTGTATTTTTAGTTCTGGTGACAATATTCCCGTAAACAAGAAAGAGGTCACCAAGGAGCCTGCAAGGAATTGCAGGACTGCATGATGCACCTCCAAAAAGAAGCTTCCCCACAGTAACCAAAGAACAGGTAAAACACAAAATAAACGGAAAATGAGCGCCCAGAGGGAAGTATTTTAGTAGATCAGCTGCCTCTGTGTTTTGGCAAGAGGAAAACAATATAACTGCATTCATGAACAGGACTCTGAGCACTGAGTCACTTATTTAGTACAACAAACACAGTAACACTAATTGGTCCAATCACTTCAATCAATCAGCACTTCTACACAATAAGAGCATAGGTATCCTGGCAAAAATACACTGGAACATTGAAAGAAGGGAAACCGACCTAAAATTCCGGGCTGACAAACCTGTCCCAGGGCTGCCCCAAATGAATTGAATTGATGCTGTTCCCTGATCACACATCTAACTCTCACACATCTAACTCTCACACATCTAACTCTC